CGGCGGCGGCGGGCGCGGCGGCTGCAGGAAGCGGCGAAGGAAGCTCCGCCGCGCTCCGCTCCGCCCCCGGCCGCGCCGCTCCCCGCCCCGGCCGCTGCCCGGGCCGCTCCCGCACGGGTTGGTGCTGGTTCGAGGGCAGGACGCGTGCCCCGGCTGGCAAGGGCCGTGGGGAAGCGGGGCCGCCCGAGGGTGGGCGGGAGCGCACCACGGGCCCGCTGAGAGGCGACAGGTAGCGGTGGGTTTGGTTGCAGGGCACCTTAGAAACTTGGGGCAAAGGGCGTGCAAAGGAAGGGAGACGTGGTGGGGCGACCTTCACGTCGGAGTTTTGCTGAAAGAGCTGGAGATGCTGCGCTGGGTTTGAGCCCGCGCAGGGGTGTGGACAGTCGTGCCCAGAGGTTACACAGCAGGGTCTGGGCCCTGCGTGTATTTTCAGGGCAGCCACCGTGGGAGGGACTGAAGGGAGATCAGAATCAAAGGTGCATATCCCCGCTGAGGGACAGGCAGACTAAAGGGTGTCCAGCGCTCGAGGAACTAGTTGGAACTGGGGTTGGGATTAAACTCAGCAAGTGGCTTGAAAACACGGGCAGCTTTACTGGACAGAAGGCAAATCTGAATTAAGGACTGAGAAACAGCAGTTTTATTGGAGCAAGATCACCCAATAATAATGCATAGAGTAAAAAGGGAGAAAGGGTGAGGTCGCTGTGGCACCACTCTAGAACCAAGGATGGAGAACCTGTAGTGGATCTGCTGACAAGTAAGCTGAAACAATGGTTAGAGAAGCAGGTAGAAGTCATTGGACCAAGCAAACACAAGATGTCAAGAAGAGTATTGCTGAAAGAGGTTGACAGATTAAGTGGAATTTGATTTTAGGTAGGAGAAATTCTTTAGGCACATCAGTGACCGTGGTAACAACTGAGCGCAAAGATCTGCAGGCAGACTGCAGACCGTGTGAAGGAGGTGGTCCAGACATGTATTGTGCACACCATGTTCATGGAGTCTATATGTGAGAGGGAGAAACAGTGTGGGATAATAATCTGAAACAAATTGGATCAAGAAGTGGGTCCTTCCTACTCCACACAGGAGAATAATATTAGAGAATTATTGCACTGCAAGAGTAATAACTGCTTTCAAAGGTTAAAGAGAAGGAAGGAAAAGTGAACATGTGTGAAATGGGGATGGTGGGATGCAAAGGGGAATATGTTCATTTAGCTCAGGAGAGGTGAACAGAAATATCTGGAAGAGATAGAATGTCTGTGCACTGGCAGAAGGGGAAGTTTGGGCATTAGTAACAAGAGAAAATGAAAGGTTAGCGGCAAAGGAGCAAGAAGAAGCACTAAAATCACCAGCAATTGGAGGCATGAAAGAAAGGAGAAGCAGAGAGAGAAGGCCAAAACCAAATAGTAAAACATGGTGAAGAATACGGTGTGAAGGCTGAAAAGTTTGTGGGGAGAAAAAAAATCAGATGATAGAAAAAGAAGATGTGGTAACAAAAAAATCAGAAAGGCAGTAAGACGATGAAACCCTGGGTTAGCAAACCATTTCTTTGATCAACAAAGTCTTCGGTCAAATGATAAGATGGGTATAAAGAATGTGCAAGGGTAAATGCAGCTGGGTGAGGGTCTGGGAAATTATGCCACTGGGGATGAGTGTGGGAGGCTGTGCAGAACTAGAAAGTGAAGTGGAGGTGAAATGAGAGAGTCCCAAGAGATGAAATGAAGAAAGCTGCTGAGGAAGGGTTGAGTGAGTGCAGAATGACAGTGCCATGAAGGCAAAAACAGAACTGAAGTTGCTGCTTCCCACTTTTTCATCAAACCACAGGAGTTTGCCAAGCTTGATCTCTTTTGGCTTCTAACTCTCAGTCTTTCACAAGATGGATAGTGGATGGTTCCTATTTCTGCAAGCAAGCTAGTGTGTTCTCGCTTTGTGTACATAGCATGATCCAGGGTCAAATTAAAACCACAGAAATGCAGTTTCATGTGAATATGCATTTCATATGACAAGTATCCTAGTGCTTCACATTGAATGCTTTATGGTCCTTACAGTGATACATACAGTGAGTGGAGAATAACCGTGGACATTATTTTACTACAGATAAAATATACAGTAGATTATATTTCAAAATATAATTTCTAGAAGTAGTGTATTCTACCCAGATCTTGTGGAAAATGGGAAATGCATGAAACCTCAACTCATATATAGATATACTGCTTCAGAGAGACAATTTGCAAATGCCTGTCAAGGAGGCCATATGGAGAGGCTGGCAGAAGGGCAGCTAGTGAACCAGTTATATGTGCCAAGTTCAATTTGTCACACTTTACAGTACCAAGAAGTATTTTGTTCTCATTTTGAGAAGGAAAACTCTTATTAGTAAAGATTCAATGACATACTCCTCAAAATGCATCTTTTACAAAAAGATCCAGCATGCCTGCTTTTAAAGACTGGAACTGCTGCTATGTAATATATTTGCAAAAGTATGTAGTAAGTACAGAGTACTGATTTAAAATGTGTGGAATGGAAGGACCCTCATTCCTCTAGTTACATATCTTGGTCATCAGTCCTTGTGGCTGGGAGACTGACAGCTTTCAAAATCAAGGGATATTGAAACTAGGGATCATAGAATCATAGAATATCCTGAGTTAGAAGGGACACACAAAGTTCATTGAGTCCAACTCCTGGCCCGGCACAGCACACCCACAAGAATCAGACAGTATGCCTGAGAGTGCTGTCCAAACGCTTCTTGGACTCTGGTGGGTCTGTTGCAGTGACCACTTCCTTGGAGAGGGTGTTCCAGTGCCTGACTACCCTCTGGGTGAAGAACCTTTTTCTAATGTCTAACTTAAACATCCTATGATGGAGCTTCAGGCCATTCCCTCAAGTCCTCTCACTAGTCACCAGAGAGGAGACTGGTGCCTGGACCACACTCCTGTGGCTGTAGGGGGACAGTGACTGTGGTGAAAGGGGTGCAGGCCATTGCTAAAATCACATTTTCTCCTCGGACATAACACTCAGAGGTTTGTTTTTTGTTGGGTTTTTTTGTGTTTTTGTTTGTTTGTTTGTTTGTTTTTTAAATCACTTTGAATAGATTTGGCATCAAAATTCCTCATCCATGTTAAGACTCCCAGCCTTTGATACTTTAAGGCTTCTCGACAGCTTGGCTCAGAGATAGAAATCACCCTGCCCAGGCAAGGCGGCGGTACCTGGATGTACTGAAACGGAGGCGGCGGCTGCCTAACCCGGGTGCCTCCGGTGCGGGCAGGTGCCACGCGTGGCTTCCCCCGTGGTGCTTCCCAAATTTCTAAGCGGGCCGGCAGCGATCAAACCTCCGAGCCCCCGCCCCCGAGGAGAAGGTGGTGTCTCCTCCCCGCCGGCGGGGGCGGGTGCTGGCGGCCGGCGGGAAGCAGCGGGGCCGGGCCCGCGGCCCGGGATGGTGCTCGGGGGCTGGTGGCGGGCGGCGCGGGCCCTGCGGGCGGCAGCGCCCGGTGAGGCAGGGGTGGGGTGGCGGCCGTGTCTCTCGGGGGGCGGGCGGGGGTGAGGTTTGCCGGAGCCCCGTGTGGATGGATGTCTTTAGCGGCGGTGTCCTTGCCCGGGCAGGCGGCCGCGGCGCGGGGCCTGCGGCGGCTGACGGGCTGTGCCTCCCCGCCAGGTCGCAGCTGCCGCAGCCTGTGCGCCGGCGAGGCGCCCAGTCTCTCCTACCGGGAGCTCAAAGACTTGAAGAAGACCAACGTGCTCCACATTGACGTGCGGGAGAGGTGGGAGATCGACAGGTTTGGAAAAATCCCCGAGTCCATCAACATCCCGCGTAAGTTATGAACGCCGCTGAGTGCGAGCGTCAGGTGTTCCCTGTTCCCCTTGGCTTGATGGTCAAGGCTGTGACTGAACAAAGAGCAGCGGCGCTAGATAGCTGCTAGTATGTTGTGAGGTTGAACTTTTTCTCTAGAGGAATTAGAAGCCTTGAAGTGTAAGCCTGTCCGTGAATAGAAAATAAATATTACTTTGTTTTCTGTATTTCCTAGTGGGTGAATTAGTGGAAGCTCTACAAATGGACCCAGTGGAGTTCAAGGAGCATTACAATCAGAAGATGCCATCCAAGTCGGACCCTGTGGTTTTTTCCTGTTTGGCAGGAACAAGAAGTAAACAAGCACTTGGTTTTGCCATGTCCTTGGGTTTCAGCAGGTATGACTTGTGTATGTAAGGAGGGATTAACACTGCCACCCTTCATGAAGAATGCGTACTCACCTTGTGGGCAAGGATAAAAATTTACGTCTGAAATATGAAAACAATTGGTATTTGAGTTAGACGCTTCCTCGTGTCTCTGCGGAGCCTTGAAAGATGCCATTGGGTATTCCAGCAAAGTGAGTTGTATCGTCCTCTGAACACAACCCCTCAGCAGCTGTGTGCATGTGCTGCAGTTGATGCAAACTGCTCCAAGACCACACTGCCACTGAACAGCTCCCTTGCCAAGACATTGCTTCCTTATACAGCTTCATAAGTATTAGTCCTGAGATGCAGGATGATTAGAAAGGTGGAGAACCGCTTGCTTTGGTAGAAGTACAATCTTAAATATTTTATGAAACCACACCCTTTGTTGAATTACAGTTCTACCTGTATAGTTCACTGTTGACAAAGTACGCCTTCACTTTCAGTAGAGCTTTGGAGTGTTTGCCAGGAGTAAAGCAGTCAAGGCAATAGCTAAAAATAAGAGATTATGATAGAGTGAAATCAAAAGCAGCATTTGGTTGGCAGAATTGTTACACCCACGTTGGAAGGTGCCTCGCTGGTTTGAAGACTGCAGGTAAAATTCAAGACATTGGTTGTTTACTCATGCTTTCATGAACTGCAGTTCATGAACTGGAATATTCCTACTAATTCTAGTCAAAAGTATGGAACCACATTCTTGTTTCAAAGTGCAAAATATCCTCCATTATCTGTTTTTCATAATGCCTAATTGAAGGAGTCAGTATTGTTTTGCATGGTGGGGGTTTTTTTCCAGAATTAAGTTTTGTGCAGGTTTATGTCAGATTTATAGAGTGTAGGTTTGCAAGGAAATAAAGATCATTGTGCTGTGTTTATTTGATGACATCTGAAGTATTAGACATAATAGCAAATGAATCTTCCACTGCAGTGAGTCTGTTCTCACTTTTTTAAAAAACTGTTTCATTGATACAGCTGCTATTTCTTGCTTGACATTTGTCTCCAGCATTGTGTCATTTGGAAAAAAAGAGGAACAGAACACACTGCATGGAAGGAGGCAGTATTAGAGTACAAGGGATGCCCATCTGCTCATCACAGCTGGGTACAAGTGTATTTCATTGCAGAGAATTTTTGTATGTTTATTTTTTTCCCCCTCTTTTTTTTGGTGTGGTTTTGGGGGTTTTTCTGGTTTGGTTGGTTTTGGTTTGTTGTTTTGTTTTTTTTTTTTCTTGGTTTGGTTTGGTTTAGGTTTTTTTACCATGTCCTCTTAAGATACAATGTTAAGGACTCTTCTTGAAAAAGGTATCTTCTGCATATTTCCAGAGTTCAGCAGTATGCTGGTGGCTTTGAGGACTGGGTAAAACATGAACCGCCAGAAAGGAAATGAAGATGACTGCTCCAGCCCTTACTCCATCAAGGCTTCAGGATGGTTTGTAGGTTTTAAGCATTTAACTGTGTGCATTCCACTTCCAGAATAAAGCTCACTCCTGTCTTCTTGTGTAAATGGACATTCACCTTCAAATGGCCATGCATATCAACTGTTTGGTTTAAATTATACCTAAAGACTAGGACATGAACAGCCTTTACTTTGGCCTATGTTTTTGGTGAGTGCATGTGAAGAGAATCTAAGTGCTTATTATGTTTACTTTTTTTTTGTATGATGGAGTTTGTGACCGTTTAAGCTAATGATGATAGGACAAATAAAATTATTTCCCAAATATTTGTGTTGGGTAGTTTGTGTAGAATTCTAATCAACTGGGGTGACTGCCCTGAGCACAGATTTATTCACGTGTAGATGAAGTTTTAAAATAGTGGCTGTGTTATCAAACAGTAAAGTAGAGCACAAATTTTTATGTTTATACTATGTGATTGTAAGGCCAAAACATCGCTACTGGTCAGAAAATACATATGGAAACTGACTTGATGCTAGAATACTCACTGTTCAAAATGCTGTATGACTCCTTATTTTAAAAGTATATCCACTTTTATAAGCAGATCTGCTTCTGAGCCCACAGTGCTGTAACATTAAGTCAACACTTCTGTTCTCTCAGCAGCTCACTATCAAGTGAGAACTCGCCTATACTTGAAGTTACTATTACAGAAATGTAATAATTTTAGGCTGGAAAATTAGAGGTGTCCAAGGAAGTTACTAAACTACCTTCCTTCTTCTATATACAGTAATTTACATGTCTTAACTTTAAAAAACATACCAACCCATCATCCCCTAAAAATGTGCATAGTCGTAATTTTAAGGAATTTTTAAAATTTATTTAATGCTGTAGCAGTTCAGGGGAACTTGCAAAGGTGAATTGCTTTGGCCTCTAGAAAATAAAGTCCTAGCACAGAAGTTTAGGGCTCCATAGGATGTCTGGAAAAAGGAACTGAAATTTGTGGTATTGCAAGCAATGTGCACTTATCCTACAGCTGTTCCGGTTCTGGCAGTGCAACCTGCATGGTTAGAAGAGGACCTAAAAAATAGGCCCTCTCAAGTTTAGAGAACTGAGAAGATAAAATAACAAGCATTACTAGAATTTTATTTCTGCAGCCTCTGCAGTCACTGGTTTCTAAAGGAGAACCACTGTAGTTGGCACAGCCAGCTGTGTTGGCTGTGCTGCTCTGATGGTGTCTCTTACAGGGGTTTCTGTGCTCTCATCTTTGCTAGTAAGTAGCTGTCAGAATAGTAAGTAATAAGTGCATTTTTCTTCAAAGTATTACTGACTTTTTAGTGGTCTTATTGCTATACTGTATTTCCAATCCATAAAAGAATCCCAAACAATTTTAGAACCAGAATTTAGACTATTTTCCAAAATATTGGTTTGGTCTAACTGATGAATTAATGGGAGTAAAATGAAATTAAAATGCCAGGATGAGCATGGGCGTTACCTTGGTGCAATTCTCACTATCTCACTCCTGAAGGTCTTTTTCAGACTGGATCAGGAAGAGTAATGGATACCAACACTTCCCTTGGAGTTAACCAAACCCTATGATCCATTAATTTTGCCTGTTTAACATGACCTAGACTGTCGGTTTCACAATGCTATGGGCATGTGGTCAAGGGGGCAACACAAACCCACTGTTGGCTGTGTTGTGCCAGGCCTCAGCAGGACTAATGATGCCTTTTGAAGGTCGTTAAGGACAGACTGTATAGGGAGCATTTGAGAGAGATTGAAAACATTTATCATGCTTAGCTGTATTGATCAAGCCACCAAAGCAGCCAACGCTTCCTTTTGTAGCTACATTAAAGTCTGTTGGGAACACCTAAAACTACATAGCCCCAAAAAATATACAGCAATTACACTGTGTCACACCAGATCTATCTAGCCCATTATTTTCTGTTTGGCAGCAACTGGTAAGAAACATCTGAGGAAGAGGATCACAGGATTAGTGTGTAGTGATACAATCCCCAGATTACTCTCATTTACAACGCAGTGTTTTGATACTTCCTTCAGGCTTTGGGTATCTTGGTATATTTGGGTACTTTTACAGTTTCAGCACAAACTCCCAGCAGACACAGCAGGCTGCACTGGGTTTAACAACGTAATAAATCTTTCCTTTTGTTGCTTCTCAACTTGCCATGTATTTTTTTCATCAGCTCCTCTAGCTTTTTCTGTCAGAAGTGAAGAGTTGTTACCTCATCAGTCTTCACACCAGTCATGATTTTTCTAAATCTCTGCTGTCTTTTATGAGCTGAAGAGTTGTGTTGTTTTTTTTTAATTGGAAAGCTACTATGTACCTCTTTTTTACTTTCATTTTTTATTACTCTGGGTAGTTTTTTGCAAGATGTTTCTCAAACTATTTGTAGCTTGTCAAATTAGATGATCCTTTCTGTGTCTTCCTCTGTTTCTTCCTTATGTAAATATAATTTGCGTTAACCAACTTGTCTGATCCAGTTCAGTTTGTTTCCTTTGGAATTTTTCCTTCAGTCTTTTTGGCATAGATGGCCTGTGTTTGCTTTGACACTCCACTGTCACCTGTAGCCGTATCATCTGTGAAGACTTTCAGCTACCTCCCTTTTAATGAGATACCACGTTTTTATGCACCTCTCCTTTGAAACGAAACACAAGAAAGGTGACTTTTTTTTCTGTCTGCTTGGTAGCAAGGCTGTTGAATTCACATTGTGTTGCGTTTCCTGTTGTTCCAAATTACATCTTTCTTTTTAAAACTGTCATCACTGAATCCAGTTCCTTTGACTGCACTTCACTGCCTTTCCCTTCAACACTGGAATCAGAGCTGGTAAAATTATCATCACCTTCCCAGCAGAGAATGCAGAGAAACTTGTAGTTACTACCAAGAAGTGCCTGACATTTTAGCTCTGAGGTGGAGGTCACATTGTGATTTAGGTGTGAAGTCTGCAAAGGCTCTTGAGCAGCAAGAAAAAATTTAATCACTCCAGCCAAAATTCTTCATTAATAGTGTGAAATCCCTAATTCTTAAACATGAGCTTTCTTGGCAGATTATGTGGTATCTGTGAGAAGAATGATGTTTACCTGAAGAACAGTTCCTGTTTAAGAACTCTACACAACAGAGGTCAAGTTGCTTTGATTTATTTCTATTCCCCAAGTCCACATTACAAATAGCACATTTTAGACTTCAAGAAATGAAAGCAAAACAGCCAATTTCCACTTCATCAATTAAGTGTCTATAGAAGGTATGGATCAAACAAAGTAGCAAAGACCAAACCATATATATTTTCCATCTCACCAAAGTGTTTGGGGCTTGCTTACCTAATGATTTATGGAAATAACCTGAACAGAAATAAACGTTAGTAGCCTAATGGGCTAAATACAAACACACATCAGTTATATTTCACTGAATGACCAGCCAGTTACAAAGACAGGTATTTGCAAATATAGGGATGTGTTTTAAGGGGCCAGTTTTTTGAACCAAGACGCATCACAGAGCACAGGTTTTCAAGAATCTACCTCCAGTATTTCAGACCAGTGAAATGTGTTGTTTCAGGAGAACAAAAAAGAGAACAATGTTACTGCACTTTATTTTATCATTCAATTGTTGTACTTGGGCAGGTTGGCATTATCATTCAAAATAAAGTTGTACAGAACTTAATTAAAAACAAAGTTATCTAAAAAAAAAAAAAATCAAGAAATCAATTTAGGCCAATTCCTGACTTCAGTGGGATATCTGCCTGAGTAAGGAACACAGGATATGGCCTTCTATTTGAAGGAATCTCATTTTCTCCAGCACAAAGTTAACCAAGGAATCCCATTTCAGTTATTCTAGAGTTGCTCGTAACATTCCGATTAAAATTTACCAGTATGAAGCTCACCGAATGCTTGATCCTCTTAAATAAACTCTCTAATGAACCACACAAATTCACACTAACAGTGAAGGCAGACTAACAGTGTATATCTTTTCTGCAAAAAAAAATCCACCATAAAGAATCATATCCAGATTGGTACTTGATTGTGAAATACTCCGATTGTACCATACAGTACATTTATTTGAAAAAAAAAAAATTCCTCGTATGTTGGGGTTTCTTAATTCCTAACACTTGAAATGTTTCAGAAAACTGCAGAATCACTATACATATTGCACTTCTCTGGTAAGCTGGGCTTCTACACATCATGGTAAAAACATCCAAGTAGGTTTACTGAGGAAAACAGCTTTTTTAAATCCAAAAAAAAGAAACTGACTTTCCTTCCTGCAGATTTCATTAAAACTGTAACAATATTCTTTACAGGCTCTTCTAGGAATTTGTTTCTGAAGGATTGTGTGTTACTTGTTACAGAATCTGTATTTATTTTTTTTAAAATCAACAAAATTCAAGGTAATGAATAGATTTAACATACAGTGCACTATCTTCCTTCAGTCACAAACAAAATTAAGACAACACAAGTCAATACAGTTACACTTAGGCTTCAGGTTACTGTCACTTTAAAAATAGTTCACTTCAATGCAAATAAAACCAATAATGAACTATTTGTTTTGAGTGAAAAGTGTTAATCTTTTGCAGCTTGGTTTAATGTTTGATTCCTTACACTGAAAAATCTTAGCACATTTGCTCCAGCGTCAGAGAAAATGTTGTAATTTTAGAGAAAAAGCTTTCAAAATGCTCGACACAAACAAGCTATTTATTCTTCGAGTTCGTTGTCCAAGATGTTACTAAAACCTTCCATCCATTTCATGAACACAGGAAAGATCCCAGGATGTCTTGAGTCAAAGTGGTCCATAAAGAAATTCTTTGGAATGCCTTAAGATTGGCTATAACTAGAGTTCTGGCTACCATTTGGACCCTGTTCTCCTTCACTGTTTGAAGAAAACAAAAACACGTGTCTTCAATAAGAAGCATCGTATTACATTTTTATCCTTTTTTTTAATTAAAAAAATACAGTATTCTGAAAATAATAAAAATCTTTTGATAGAAAATACTTCAACATATACACAAACAGATATTCTGCTCAGTTTCATAAAAAATGCAAAGGTTATTTTGAGCATGCATAAATAACTTCACCATATTTATCTGAATAATAATTTCAATATATGTCCATGCAGCTGCCTGCTGAATCTACTTCTGAAGTCAACATTGCAAAGTTCACATTACATAAGCATGTGCACGGGAATTTACATGTGCAGATTCCCAACAGTGATATTTAATCACAGTAATTAAATATGACATCAAGCAGGCCCAGTTCCATTGAATCTGGCCCAGCCATGGAGCCTCACACTGGGGTTCCTTACATTTGCTGAGCTGTATTGATCA